GTATCTCACACACACACACACACACACACACACACACACGCACACACACACACACGTACACACACACATGTACACTCCACATAACTTCACAGGATCCAGGCAGCTTTGAGGGCCCCCTCCGTCCCAGTCTGAGCCCTCTCAGCCTCTGCCCCTGGTGGCCCTACATGCCCAGGTCACCAGAAGTCCCTGGTTAATGATAATCCTGGTGTTTATACAGCACAGGGAGCAGGTCAGGGGAAGCCAAAGGGTAGTTGGGGAGGGAGCACCTGGCCAGCTTGCAGTCAGTCCAGCTTCCCTCCCTCATTGGCCAACTCTGGGCACCAACTGCACACGTGGAGTGACCCGGCACTTCCTGGCTGTGTGATGTTTGGAAAATGACTTAACCTCTCTGTGGCTCAGTGTCGCCTTCTGTCAAACGGAGATCGTACCAGTAGTGGCCTCTGAGGGGACAGCGATGGAGAGACCGGTAGCCATCATCATCCATCATTGTCATTCTTCCTCCTCATCAACTGCACAGGCAGCCCTGCTGGGTGGCACTCTGCAGGGGTGGGTCCAAGCCTGTCTTCATCCCCTCCGTCGCGAAGCTCTTTACGTGAATGCTCAAAGACCCTGCAAAGAGGTTCCTCATACCCAGCTCACAGCCGAGGGACCCAGAAGCCAAGGGCCTTGTTCAAATCACAAGCTGTTTGCTATAGAACCTGGAGCCAGAATCTACCCCCAAGCCTACCGCCCACTGTGGGGTGCCCACCCTGTGCCATCCCCGCCAGGGTGAGTTGGCTCCGTCATTTCACATAGTCCTCTCTGCATGAAAGAAGTGGGTGCCGTATTGCCTCCATGGGACAGACAGGAAAACTGAGGACCAGGGCAGTCAACTGATTGACCTGAGCCCACACAGGACTGGGCCTGGGAACCCAAGTCTGTGGGCCCTTCGGGCTGGTGCTGTTACCCCAGTCTCCCACAGGTGTTCTAGGCGTGTGCACCAGTGCGGAAGGAAGCCGTGTGTGTTCTCGGTTTCAGGAAGAAACTTCCCCATCTCCGGCAACGAGGTGGTAGGCCTAGCAGTTGGGATAGCTCCGTGAGTCTAGTCATTTAACGTCACATGCCTTGGGTTCCCCATCTGTAAAATGGGCATAGTAACACTACACCCCTCAGAGGGTTGCTGTGAGGACTCTGTTAGTAACTTCCTGTAAAGACTGGCATGTAGTAAATGTTTGATAAACATCACTACTACGTCAGGGTGAGTAGCAGGTGTCATGTGTCTGCTTTTCTTCTTACCTCATGGGCAAAATGTAGCCAAATGGCTGAAAGTTCCATCCAAATGAAAACAACCAATTCTCCATACATCCATGAGTTCT